GAAAGAAATTTCCAGAAAACTAACAGCAAAACTTACTATTTTTGTTGTTGTTGTTGTTGTTGTTATGGGATTGTTGTGTATTTTAATTCCTCTTCCGTTATTTGAATTTTAAACTGTATAATAAATATCTTAGTAATTTTTTTTAAAGTTTAACTGACATATTGTAATTATACATACTTATGGGATACAATCTGATCTTCTGATTCATATATGTCATATAATAATCAGGTTATGATAGTTAATGTTTCAGTCATCTCACGCTTTTATCATTTCTTAGTGGAAAAGACATTCAAAAGCCTCTCTTCCAGCTATAATGTAATATATGCAAAACTTAACTGTTAAGTATAGTCACCCTATTACTGTGCAATAGAATAGCAAACCGAGAATATTATACTCACCCATTGAGTTAAAGACCAAACACGAACTCCTGTTTTCTTTAAAAAAATATTCTAGGTTTGAAGACCACAGCTTACTTTTGGAGACAGGGAAAGGAGGAAGAAAATATTGGAAATCAACTCACCTAAGCAAAAATCGCTGAGGTCAGCAAAAGAACATGTGAGCACAGAGTCTTTTTTATTCTCCTCACTGTTAACTAGAAAAAAAAAAAAAGACACTTTTTAGTTTCAGGAAATGAAAACACAACAACAGAAAAATAACAGTTGTGACTGATGTCCAAATGATGGCCAAACATGAAAAAAAATTTTAAGTTAATGAGTTGAAATTACTTAAAATTTCACTTTCAGTAAGGGAAATAAACATCTATATTATGTTTTAATATCATCATCCTCTTGAACAATTAGCCACTTTTCTTATTGGACATGGCTGTAAGCTACTTATAATATGTAGTGATTCATAGTATTATTAAAAAGATAATTTGGTATTTTCAAGTTATTCAGAGGAAGAAGAAACTCCAAGGAATCAAAAGGGAAAACATTCTCACGAGAAAAAAGCTAGAGAAGTCTGGGAAAATTAAAAACACTCCCCATCCACTAAATGACAGCGAGTATGGTTGTATTTTGACTTCCGACTTTTGAGAAAAGGGGTTGTCTAAAAAAGTATTATGGTGTACCTCAGATGGGCAGATTTGTGTAGAAGAGTGCCAAAGGACAGCCACAGCGTTTCTTTAACGTGGCATCTAGCACATATGTCCCTAAATTCCTGCCTCTGTGTGCCAACATNTTCTCTGCCTTTCCCACCTCTGCTGGCTTCAGTTCTGTTCTCTCCTTTTGAAAGTTCAAGGAATTATTGTGCTTGTTGTACCTTTCATTCTTTTTTGTTGTTTATTTCTTTAGTTCCCACTTACAAGTGAGGACATGGTATTTCTCTTTTGGTGCCTGGCTTATTTCACTTAACGTAATTTTCTTTTTCATCCATGTTGCTACAAATGACAGTATTTCATTCTTTTTTATGGCAGAGTAGCATTCCATTGTGTAAATACACGACATTTTCCATATCCAGTCATCAATTGATGGACATTTAGGTTGATTCCAAGCCTTGGCTATTGTACATAAAGCTGAAATAAACATGGGAGAAATTCTTAATCCTGGCCACACTTAACATTTACCTGGGGAGTGGTTAGAAAAGTATGGATACCAATTCCACTTCCTAGATCAATTAAAACTGATCTCTGGAACTGGGGCCCAGGGAGCTTTAAAAGCTCTCAGGTGATTCGAATGTGTAACCATAGTTGAGAACCCCTGACTTAGGCAATGCAGCCCAGACACGGATGTGTTTACTACTGAACATTCAGGGCTTAATTTCTGCAAGTTATAAATAAATTCACTCTAAGGCTGCAAAATAAGTGCTTGGGCAGATTAGTATCACTTTTTGATTAATTTTGGCTCTATTTTATGTCTATTTAATGCATGACAATGGAAAGTCCGAGTTCTAAGGTATTGCTAAGGGGCAAAGATAGTAAACTACAGATTTAAATGTAAATCTTGCTCAGTCGAAGCAAATTTCATGTAATGATATCAAAAGGCAAAAGAAGAGATTGAGTGAACTTGTCACTGTTGTAAGAAAAATAAATAAAATTTATTTTATCTGTTAATGGAGAGTCAGTATAAAT